ACACAATTCTAAACCCACCCTAAAACCTCCTGTCGGAAATACTTTAGCATGACTTGTTTTTGAATTAATAATAACAAATAATATCACCATATCCATTAGTGAAACAAGTACCTTTATTAAAAGTTTATAATCATTTTAAAACTATTTTGTTTCAATAATTTTTTATTAAAAAAAATTAAATTACCCTATTTTTAAAGCATACATTTAGGTGATTTTTGCTATTTTTTTTCCTAATTTTTGAAAAGTAAACAGGAACTTTTTCCCATTAAAAAATAAAATATCAATTTCTCTTCTTAAAAAAATGACTAAGGAATATTTCATTTGTAATTACGTAATAATAACTAAAAATAAAAACGATAGACTCTTTTAGTATTGAGAAAAAAAAAACGATTTGCTAGTTTTGAATTTGTCCTTATTTTTTTATTTGATGATAACAAAACGATAGTTAACTTTCATATAATCAAACAATTATTAAAATTAATAACAGCTAGTTTCCATCAATTACTTGATATTCACTATTACTACTTGTTATTTGCTACTGTTGTTTGATACCTACCATTTACCGTTTATTATTCACCACTCACTAACGGCTAATAGTTAAACTTATTAATCATTCTCAGTAATTAAATTTATTGTTAAGTATATATTATTTTATAAGTCATGTTTACGGTTTGTTTGGTTAGAGGACAGTTTCATTGGGATAGCATAATTTTTTAAATTAATATTATTTGATGTAAAATAAACAAAGATTTAAGTAAAAATTTATGAATTAGAGAGGTAAAAAGAGACAATGAAATCATAAAGAGTTTCTTATTCTCCTTCTTTCTTCTATGTCCTTTTTATACGGCTTACAAGTCATATATATAAGTTTTAAAAAATAGGAATTAGCTAGAAGAATTAATCACCCAATAAAAAGAAATTTATTACTGTAAAAAATGGATAAAAAAATGGGGACTTAATCATATCATTATTCACATGAGAAAGTGAGGAGTTATCCATCATTACTTTGTGTGTAATTGCATGAAAAAATAACTCTAATGAGATAGTTCAATGATTAAGAGTTTGAAACTTTATATCAGAGATTTTAAATTAAAGTTTTAAGTCAAGTAAACAGAGATTTAAAAATAAGATAAGGTTATCTCCTCTTGTATTATTGGTAATCAAATGTACAAAAAAGATTCTGTGGAAAAGTAGGGACGTGGAAGATAAGAAAGGCGAAATATTCACCATAAATTATTTCATAACATTTTGAGTTATTTCATTATTTTTTTTTTCTTTTCATTTCATGAGCTAATTTCAGTAGAATACTTTACTTTAAGTAATATAATAAAAAAATTAATTATCGTCCTGCATATAGATTGCAATAATTTCCTTTTAATATAAATTAAAAATTTTAAATTTAAGTTGTATGACGTGTAAAAGGTATAAGTTAAGAAATAAGATAATATTACTTCTATTATACAATTTAAATGAAAAAATTATAGTCCCACATAAATTGTAAATTAATTAAAAACAAAAAATTAATTAATTTTAATTTTATTTAAATAATTAAAATTAAAATATTTGGTGAATTTATTTAATAAACTAATTAAAAAAGTACCCTGATGCCAAGATTTAAAATCTTAAGATATCCAATTTTATCATAATTAATTAATATAGAATTTGGGTTAATATACTCCTAAAATATTTACTATTCACATAATAAAAGAATTTCCAAACTTATTTTATACATTTTCTGAAGTTATATTAAACTTATCTCTTTTCATATTAATTTATTTTTATATAAATTTAAATAGATAAAAATACATTATATTCTATAAAACCCTCCTTAACTCGTAGAAAATTTTGAATTCACTTATTATTAATATTGCACAAATCATATTAGTTTATGTTTAATGTTTGGCTCTTATTCAATTTATAGTATATAAGAGTAGAAATTAGTGCATAAAATTTTCTTTAAGTTTCATTAATTTATGCTCTTTAGATTAATTTAATGATAACTAATCATTAAAAAGTATTAAAAACAATAATATATATTTTATATAAAATAGTAAGGCTTGAAAATATAAAAATAATAAAATAAATTGACCACATCATAGTTTTAGATGGTTAAATTAATTTATAATTAAAAAAATCAAATATTTCATTATAAATA